ATTGAACAAAATTAATTTTATCGGCTCGATTAACATAAGGGTTTAAGAAAATAAATTTTAGTGTAAAATCAATGAAAATTTGAATTTTATGAAAAATGACAAAATGGTAATTAGCCATTGTTGTACTGGTTGAAAATATGAATTACTAGAACTTGGATGATGAAATGGACCCATTAGATTTTTCAAGTGAAATTTAGTTACCCAGTCAATTTTCATTGAATTTCGAGACAGTTAGATTTTACGTTTTATGATGCGATCAGGCGTCGCGCGACCAAAATAAACACGATCGGGTTTTATTTGTGGAACATGAAAAATAATTTAAATTTAGTTCAAATAAAATATTTTAAACATAACACGGGACGAGATTTAATTGATTCAGGATAAAATTGAATTTGGAAAAGACAGGACGTATGGCGGGTTGTGAGCCAAGTATCTAAGGAGTATAAATAGGGGAGAAAAAGAAGGGAGAGAAACTCTCCCCCCATCTTCATCTTCTTCCTGCGATCTAGGGCCAACCGTTCATCGAAACGCTTCGGGCCAAGAATAAAAATTGATATGTACAACGAGAGCTACGTCTCTGTACTAAAGATCAGGGATTTCACCGAAGTCTCAAAGATAGAATTTTTGGAAATCAAGATTTGAAACTTGATTTGGGATTCTTGGGAGTTTCTGCCACTCGTATTACCCTTTAAGAGGTCGGGTTCTTTTCCTAGCTAGGTTTATTTTCAACCCAGGATTTCGTATGAAATAGATAGCATAATTTGAGATGAAATATCTTGTCTAAATATATTTCCAGTGTAAATAGAGTATGAGAAATGGTATGAGAATGAATAAAACCAATTTTGCATGGGTTTGTTAAAAATTGCTCATTGGGTGATTTCATGAGAATGTGATAAATTTGGCATGATTGTGTTTACATAATTTTGTGCCTTTTGGGTGTTTGATAAAATACCTATGATTGATTAAATATGTTATTTGAATGAAATTGATATAAAATACTTTGTGATGATGTTGAAATCTAATTATATGCTTTATAATATAAGTTACATTGAGGATTTGGGATTGTTCATGTTATGCTCATGACATGTTGAAGGTGATGTTGTAATTGCAATTGAAAACTTGGTTGCATAATAATATGAAATGCAATAGTTTATTACATTTGCATATGCACAGGAAGCATTATATTTGTGGGCATTGACATGAATGTGGGTGTGTGCATATTTTTGGATCAAATACCATTCTTGGTAGTTGAGACATGGACTTGGGAAGGTTGGACGTAGGTCCGACTAAGTTGCACGAGATGCATGCAAACTTGTGTCAGGTATAGCAACAAGGGCTAGGCTCTGTCCCTCTAGTGCAAGATCTTATTACTGATTTATATATTTTCGATGGTGAAAATCCAAAAAAGTGCATTGGTGTACGCAAAATCAGAGGTGGGATACCAAAATTCGTGTTGGTGTGGTGGACCATTGGTGCAAGTCCAGGAAATAACCTACCCAAGAAAGACACATGCTTCATTTTATAAAATAGAAATTGGATGTGTAACATCAATGACAGGGCTTGGAATACCCGGGTACATATGCATGGCATTGCATGTGTTATGGGTGCCGATGAAGGCTCGGGTTACATTGCATGCTTAAGTCTCTTCTCATAACATGACATGACATTGTGAATGATTTATGAATTGTATATTCTTGGATGGATGTTTGTTTAATTGTTGAATTACTTTTGAACATTTCATATGTATCTGAGTTGGGAGGTAGCCTCTTTAGGAGATACCTTATTAAGCGTGACTCACCTTTATAGGGACAATATTTCAGGTGTGGGACAAGCATTGGTGGATGGCCTTCACATGGGACTTTGTTGAGAAGAAGTCGAAATGTGGCTTTAAGCTTGCATTTTGTAAAACAATAGTGTACATTGTTTTAGACTTTTAATATTGTTTAAAGGATTTTAAAATGAACTCATAAGAACTATATTTTGTGTAAAATTTGATGTTATATGAGTTTGAGTAAATTTTGTATAAGATTGGATGAGTTGAAATTAAAAAATGATTTAATTGAGGGCCCTGTTACTGGTAGCACATTGATTTGCTACCAATAGCACAATTCCAGTGGGCAGCTATTGGTATCTTGGTTCATAACTACTGGTAGCTCGCTAGAAGTGGGCTCAACTACTGCTAGCTAGGTTCACAACTACTGGAAGCTCATTGGCAGAGGGCTCAACTACTTGTAGTAAGTACACGAGCTACCAATAGTTAATCTAAAATTTTCAAAAAATTAAAATAACTTTGCCAATCCTTCGTCCTTGAGCCCTTTTATTTAGAGGATATAAATGGAGTAATATTGATGGCAAATTGATGGGTATTGGACCTTGGAATGGTTGTATGATGACGTGGTGTTGGGTTATTCAGCATGCACAGGTACTTCCATAGGTTGATGAGTGATCAACGGGTTGAGAAATGACCCCCGATTTTAGGGGCGTCATAGCTTGGTATTAGAGCCTATGTTCTCAATTTATCTAGGACTTGCAGGGGCATAGGTCTAGGTCATTGCATCCATCGTACATTACATGTTATGTGCTCTAAATGCTACACATTATGTATTATGTGAATAATATACATGATTTAATGTATATGGAAAGGAGACACCAGGATTAGAGAACATAACATTGGGGGTCAAAAAGAGAAGGAACGAAACATTTCATGGTATAGATGTCCATTAGTGGGTGGGACATGCTCTACTAGTGAGACAAGGAGATAAATCTCAATGTTTTGACTTTGATCCCTACTTTGGGATACTAAGTTAGTACTTTGTTGCTATTTGACAAATGTGTAAATGGAAAATAGAGGAAGAGGACACCAAAATGGTGGTCAACCAGTGGTTCGAATAAGTCAATAAGATCTTAGAGGCTATAGAGATCACATTTAATGCCACTAAGATAAGGTTAGCTGTGTTCCAACTTGAAGGAGAGGCCCATCTCTGGTAGAATTGGGTAAAGGCTTCCAAGAACCTAGAGACAATGACATAGGGAGAGCTTCTTGAGCTCTTCATGGGCAAGTACTTCCCGTCAGCTGTTCGGCAAGCAAAACCTGAGAATTCTTGGATTTGAAGCAAGGGACTATGACAGTGATGAAATACGTGGCTAAGTTCATCGAGTTAGCCCATTTTTTGCAAATTATTATGTGGCCACAGACTTGGCCAAAATGAGGAGGTTCATGGATAGCTTGAAGTTGTCCATTTGGGGAAAGATTATGGGCCACCAGCTACAAAACTTGGACTCAATAGTCGAGACAACCATGACCATTGAGAGGTAGATGGAAGATGCAAGGGGCATCCATGAGGCAGTTGCTAAGGACAAGAAGAAGGGGGCCAATCCTTTTCTTCTAGTTAGGGGAAGAAGCAAAAGACTTCTACCCCATAAGGGCATCAAGGACAGGGCCGCAGCTATCAAGGCCAAGGCCAAGACTAAGGTCAATCCTCCCAAGGCAGGAAAAACTTCAGGGGCTTTCTACCAAGTAGGCAAGAGGACTTATTTCATATGCCACCGGCCAGGTCACATGAAGTAGAATTATCCTTAGACACAAGGATCCCAGAGTTATGGGGCATCTTAGTCCCAATCATCGGTGGGGCATCCACAAACTATTTTCATTCCTCCTTATCGTACAATGGGCCAAGGAAAGTAGTTTCAGGTCCAGGGTGTTGTACAAGCCTCTAATACTTTACGAGCGGGTACTCTGCAATTATGCCAGATGGGCTAGGGCATAGGCTGAGGTCGAGGACAGGGCTTACAGGTCGGGACTTCATGATTTTGTGCCTTTTGGGTATTTGATAAAATGTATATGATTGATTAAGTATGTTATTTGAATGAAATTGATATAACATGCTTTGTGATGATGTTGAAACGTAATTATATGCTTTATGATATAAGTTATATTGAGGATTTGAGATTGTTCATATTGTGCTCATGACTTGTTGAACATGATGTTGTAATTGTAATTGAAAACTTGGTCACATCATGTGAAATGCAATGGTTCATTACATTTGCATATGCACGAGAAGTATCGCATTCGTGGGCATTAAGATGAGTGTGGGTGTGTGTGCATATTTTTGGATCAAATACCATTCTTGGTGGTTGAGGTGTGGACTCGGGAAGGTTGGACCTAGGTTCGACTGAATTGCACGAGTTGCATGAAAAACTTGTGTCTGGTATAGCAAGAAGGGCTAGACTCTTCCTCGGGTGCAAGACCCGATTACTATTTTATACACTTCCGATGGTGAAAGTCCAAAAAAGTGTATTAGTGTATGCAGAACCGAAGGTGGGATACCAAAATTCGTGTCAGTGTGGTGGACCAATGGTTCAAGTCCAGGAAATCACCTATCCAAGAAAGACACTTGGTTCATTTTATAAAATAGTCATTAAATGTGTAACATCAATGACAGAGGAATGGAATGTCTGGGTACATATGCATAGTATTGCATGTGTTATGGGAGCCGGTGAATGCTCAGGTTTCATTGCATGTGTGAGTCTTTTCTCATAACATGGTATGACATTGTGAATTCCATTATGAATTGTATATTCTTAGATGAATGCTTGCTTAATTATTAAATTGCATGTGAATTGTAAAACCCGCATAAATTTGAAATTTTGTGAAAAGGTCTGAAGTACATTTTTACATAGCGGGACCTCAACATGAGGCAACGTAGGTGGATGGAGTACCTCGAAGATATGACTTTACTTTACATTACCATCCCGGTAAATCAAATGTGGTGGCTGATGCACTCACTCGAAAGTCACGGAGAGTTATGGCTAGTGTGGCTTCGCGAGAGTGGCAGATGCTCGAGACTGTAGGACAGTTCGGACTATGTTATATGGGTCAGGCTTAGGGTAATTTGGAGAGTTTGGTGGCTACGCCGTCTCTACTGAGTAGGGTGATTGAGTAGGTGGGATTCAGAGAGAGGGGTGGGGGAGCATATGGCATATGCATTTGGGAAACTAATATGTTTGTGCTTTTGACTTCTAGGTGGTGGAAAGATTTGGACCTTCCATCAAAACTTCCTTATATAAGGAGCAGACTGGTCGAGAGCTACATTTGGGCTATTGCAACCTATTATGAACCTCATTACTCCCTTAGCAGGATCATTTTCACCAAACCTTTTGTAATGTTTACTGTTGTAGATGATACATATGATGCATATGGTTTACCTGAAGAACTCAGACTTTACACTAAAGCAACACAGAGGTTATAATTTCTTGAAGCCCTTGTTTCTTTCTTATAGCCTCGTAGCAAAGTCATTAGTTTATTGCAAAAACTAGGGAAAGGGATGGATAATATTGAATTGTGATGGCTTTTTCTGTAGTTAGGGCTTTCCAATATCATAAGCATGTGAATAAAAAAGATAAATGAATTGGTTGAACCATCAATAATTCGTTTTTTATGCAAGAAGCACCCGTGCATCGTGGACAACAATTTCTATTTTTTTTTTAATTTTTGCGTTAAATTAAGAACTAAAATGACATTGCTTTATTTTTTAGGTGGGATATGAAGGAAATCAACCAGCTTCCGGATTACATGAAAATTGTTTACAGAAATGTTTTAAATCTCTACAAAGAATTAGAGGAGGAAATGGCAAAGCAAGGAATATCATACCGCCTTTATTATTCACAAGAATCAGTATGGGTTATATATGCTTTCTATATTTTTTTGTTATCCTCTTGTTCGTTTTTTCTTTTTATGTTTCGGAAAATAACAATGAAAATGATGTTTACTGTCGTTCCTGATCACAGTTTAAAGAAACAGTTACGGGCTATGAAATTGAGGCTAACTGGTGTAATGAAGGATACAAGGCGACATTTGATGAATATATGAGTAATGGGTTGATCAGTGCCGGTTATTTTCTGGTTGGATTATCGTCCTTATTGGGCATGGGAGAAGTTGCTAACGTTGAAGCATTTGAATGGATGCGAAGCAAACCCAAAGTTCTTGTGGCAGCAAACATAATTGGGCGGCTCATTAACGACATAATGAGCCATGAGGTATAATAGTTACTTAAATAACTTAACTCAATAATCAACACATAGATTTGCACATTTACTTATTTGTCAAAAACATTTTTGTTTGTGACATTCATCTGTAAATCTCTCCAATTTGAAGGAAGAAGATCAGAGGGTGCATATTGCTACAGGGGTTGAATGGTATATGAAGGATTATGGAGTGTCAAAGGAAGAGGCTATTGATGAGTTTACCGAATTATTGCAAATGCATGGAAAGATATTAATCAGGAATGCCTCAGACCAACCCCCGTTCCAATGACTATACTCATGCGAGTTCTTAACCTGACAAGATTTCTGGAGGTAGTTTACAAGGATGGAGATGGATTCACACATCCAGAACTACTGTTGAACGATTATGTTGCCTCATTGTTAATCGATCCCATTCCCATATGAGCCTGGATGTTGATTAGTGTTTTTTTTTTGTCCGGCAGGTATGTTAATTATTGTTTGTGCTTTCAAGGAGTAATGTTATGCAAGTATTCGGATACTGAGCATTTAGCTTTTTATAAGTTTTACTCCAGCATGGATTTGGTTTGAGTGTGCAATGAAAAGATGTTCAATAAATGTGAAGAACTGATTGTAGTTTGTCATGCAAATTTTCAGCTCTAGATGACTCTTCAATTTCCGAATATTCTTACGTTTATCCCTTAAAACATTTGAAATACTTTAATTGAGGCAGTTGAGGACCTGCATGACATTGTCTTACAGTATTAACCCATTTATGTTTTACGTTTGGACACTTATTCGTGCATATCTAGTATAGAAAGTGAGTAAGAAGAGGAAAGAGGTTAGGGTGTGATAGAAAAGGCCCGGCAATGCCACATTAGTGACCTTATTTGGTGAAGTCATAAGTCTCTGTCATTAGATTAATAATGAACTCCACAATTAATAGAGACTGATTATCAATTTAATAGCTATGATTAATCATATCACTAAATAAAGTCACTAAATTTGTATTAAAAGTATTTCCTCATAGAAAATGATCGATAGATCATGATTCAGAGTAGTATATCGATAAGGCAAGTGGATTAGTTTGGAATATACTTATTTACTTTGGATGTTCTTAGAAATTGGTTATCCAAGAGCGTGTGGGGGTGGCCAAGTCACTCCGGTCGGACATGACAATTTTTTTTTGGCCAAAGACATGGCATCACTGCCATTAAACTCCACTGAATTTTATTTTTTATTCTTCATGTCCGATAGCATATTTTTGTTTTGATTACTTTTTTTTCCTGATCACGCCACCACAATGCACTTTATTTTATTTATCTCAATTTTTGCTTGATTTGTCATATTAACTGTAATTATCTTGCTTAGTATGCGGCAAAACCTTCTTGTGTATCTATGATTCGTGGTTCCTTTACAGACCTGTGTTGTTTATGATACTAGTTTCACTAGCCTATTTATGAATGCCAATTTTGTTATAATTTTTTTATACTGGATTTTCATTAAGTGATAGTTAATATTGGGTTTGTAAAAAACAGGTTGAATTTGTAGTCTAATGAGATGAGTCAAATATTACTAAGCGATTTATCTTGATAGGTTTATCTAATTACTGCATGTCATCGGAGAACCTATTAGGTTCATTATAAATAGACAGACTAGGTCACTTATTCACTTCACAACTTAATTTGGCTTATCACATTGAAAGCTGCCTATTGCTTTGAAAAAAAGAAGACCTTACCTTTCCGCAAAAAAGAAAACCCTGAAGCTAGAAAATTATTACTCATTACATGTATAATCTAAACCTCATAGTTTAAGTGTTCTAAGTTTCATATATAAATTATTAAAAAATTTTATATGTGGTATCAAAGTCTATTGTCTATGAACTAGTAATTTTCCGCGCCTAAAAACACTCTATAACAAACCTAAAAATCACAAAAAATTGCCCATGTTGAAGGCACACTATCACGCAAAAAATCACACCTAAAAGTTGAGGAAATTTGGCAGTTAATATAAGTCAATTGGTTGGTGCAATAAGCTCCTAGCTGAAGACACTTGGTAACACAAAAATATCACTTAAAAAATTTAAAACTCCTATTAAATTGAAGCAAAACAAAAATTGTCAAATAAATTTCACAATAATAGTGCACACCTTCAACCGAACTTTCTTCAAATAATTCTATGTGAAGAAGTTAAACACAACTAGTCATACACCCACACTCAAATGAACAAATAGACATTGCTTAAAAAGATAAATAAGCTAAAACCATACAAAGTTGGTCACACATTACAAATGAACACCCATAGTTCCATGTCAATTGAATTAAACACATATAAAGACACTATTGTCATATTGCTTTCTTCATATCACCCATGCCACTTCAAAATGTTTGTACCTTTTACTTCATGGATTTTGAGCACACTTATGTGTACTATCAAAATTGTCTTTTCATTGGTTACTAACACTTTTATTTTTAAATAGGAAAATTATAATTGGTATTCGTGATCTACCAAGTAAGCCTACAAAAGCATTTGAGGAGCTCCCTACTTTTGTAAATGATTATTAGCAAAAGGAAAGCGGCTCACATAATGCATCCAGGCGACCAAATAAATTTTGTGCCAAATGAAATCCAAAAACAAAAATCGATAGAATTTCCTCTAACATTAGAATTAAAAAAAAAAAAAAATTCAAGTTGTATACACAATTTGTATATGACGTAAATGTCCTATGAAAGGCTAGTAATTGCCTTTCATATTTTTAGATTCCCGTGAAAAATAAATTCAAATGCAATAACAAAAAACACTAAACACAATCAAATTGAATTCGAAACATAATATAAATAAAAAGATTAACCACTATATAATAAAGAAAAAAAAGAGGAGGGAGAATACAGGCGGCCCTTAGTTTCTATCAATTCTGTAAATCATTCCCCATCTGGCTACTATACCTTCACTGAGTTATAAACTACATATGGTAGCCCATTGATTATACACCAAAATCAAAACATGCTTTATCCCCAAAACACAGTTCAGTATATTTTCACAACAACTTCAAACAGATCGTAAATCAAATTGAAGTAGTTAAGAGTACCTTAATTACATATTATACAACATCGACAAAATTATAGAGGGCAACCCACTGAAATGTGCAATAGCCATTACCGTTCTACTAAGATAGATCTTTGATGAATTTTCACCACTTCTGGAAATCTCCAAAAGTCGAAGTTGAGAAAACATAGATTATAGGCACCTTCTCCTTTGACTGATCCAACTGTCCAATCTTTGCAATTCCAATAATTTTGAAAATCCGACAACTTGGCTATAAAATCTCTTGTGGTATGCCCCTCTTAAGATAAGATTTACGTGCATATCCTTGATTCTTGCATGCTCATTTATGTGTAGATGAGGGTCCGTTTAGATGTGTAATCTAATGGGTTGGCTTATGAACTAGATGTCTTTAACAAATTCAGAAAGAGCAACGATAAATTAAAAGAATCCCTTACTAGCGACTTGTTGGGTATGCTAAGCTTGTATGAAGTTGCACATTTAAGAACACATGGTGATGATATTTTAGATGAGGCACTGGTTTTCACCACCACGCACCTTGAGTCTTGATACGGACGAAATTCAAGGCCAGGGCCTTCATGGCCCAGAAGCCTAACCAGCCCAAAAGGTCCGGAACAAAGAAGAAGAACCCAACATCAGCAGAAGGCTTATAACCCAACAATCCAGACCCAGTCCAATCCATAAGCAGTCCAACGGTTGAAAGTCTAGTCCAAATGCTACTTCTGGATCGCTAGTGGGGACCACGCACCCTAAGGATCCAGGGGACCACTCCTGACACCTACGATAATCTCAGAAAAGTGGAGCGCCAAGCCACCAGAGATCGTGGCAACGGCAGCGCTGGATGAATAGTGATTGTGGTGATAGAAGAAGCAGGAAGGTGTAGAGAGAAGGACTGAAAGGGTCAGTACTAAGGGAAGGACAACTGAAGACCCTAGGAGAGGCCTTAATATAAATAGAAAACGATAACCCGACAAGGGGGGATCTCTTCTGGGACCCATAAGCATTCAAGAGCCAAAAGAAAGGATACTAAGAGAGAATAGCTAGATACTCACTCCTTGTAAGAGGACTTCGGGTCCCCAGTTTCAGGGGGGCACACCTCCGACCGATTAATATACAAACCTAGGGAGCAAGAGACTCCATTGATAGTGGACGTAGCCTTAGTCTATCGGCTAAGGTGAACCACTTACATTCCCTACCTAACTACTCACGAAAGATTAATCCATAATCTGCAAAACCTACTCAGAACATTGCCCAATCCTTATTGGGCTTGGGCCATAAATTTCGAGCACCATCACTTGGCGTCGTTTGTGGGAAACGTTTTCATCGTTCTTTTGAATTTTTTGTCTACTTGATGGTTTCAACTTGAAACATGAGTAAAGCTCCAGCCAATCCCCAGGTCCAGCAAAACCAACCAGAAAACTTCCCTGTCCTAGAAGTGGATACTGAGGGTCATCCTTTAGCAGCAAACCTCCCACCGCTCAACGAACTAGAAACCTACCATCGAACTATGATACAGTTGATGAAGCAGAACTAGGAGATGATGGAATGGATACAGACAAATCAGCTGCCTCAGTTCCCACCAGCTCGACAAGAACCTCCTCCACCCCAAGCTGAACATGACGCCCCTCCTCAGGAGCACCAAACTCCCCTAAATGGAATAACAAAACTCCATGAGCATAGCCATCATGGGGACAACCATCGGAGAGGTAGCCCGAAAGATGGCGGCGAAGATGAGGCCCACAGTAGGGCCAGGGCCATTTATCGAGAGGATAGAACCCACCCCCTTCAGGATGCCATGGATCCTTTGCTGGAACAAAAACTCTGCGAGCTTTAGCGAGAAGTGGGCCACATGAAAGAGACGATCAAGGGAAGAACCCCTCGACACTATGGACGCCCTGGTCCAGCAAACTCAATCGACGTTTGCCCCCGAGGTCCTCCATTTTCCCCTTCCCCAAAAGTTTCAAATGCCATTGATAGCAGCGTTCGACGGAACGAAGGACCCTGCCTATCACCTGAACTCCTACAAAAACCAGATGGAGCTTCAGGGTTATCCAGATCCAATCCGTTGTCGAGCTTTTGCCATCACCCTCAAGGGATCGGCGATAGCCTGGTTCAACAGGCTGCAGCCCACATCAATTTTCTCATTCAGGAAATTATCCATACAGTTTGTATCCCACTTTATAGGGGCAAGAACGTATAGAAAGCTTTCATACCATTTATTAAGTGTCAAATAAGGACTCACTAAGTCCC